CTGAATGACAAGACAAATAGAGGCTGGGATAGTTTGTTTCTGTACCCTGCTAAGAGGAATTTGTTTCTACGTAGGCTCTTGGACAGTGGCTGTTTTCTGGGAGCTGTTTGTTCTCTGTTTTTTCCCGTTTTATGCATTTTCCTGTTTGGTGGAAGGAAAAGACTGTTTGTCTTTTATACAAGCCATCTGTGGTGAGATATTTAGTATCTGTGGCTTTGGGATAAGGCAGGAAAGATCCCTTGAAACCCAGCTAGCGTGTCAGTTGGACAATGGTGCAGGTCAGACTGCAAATCTTATCCTTCATCACCATCTCCTGTGTGCTGAAGGCTAGTGTATCAAATGGTAATTAACCACATCCACTCTGTAGCACGGCTCTGTCTGTGAACATAAGTGGTTACAGATGTTTTGACTTTCTATACAATGTGTCATGTGTTTTATTTCCACTTACAATGTTTGGTGACATCACAACTGTTTTTTTTTAAATAGAATATGCCCTTGCAGATAAAATGTCTATAAAACATTGTGTAACAGTTCCTCGTTTAAAAATTGACTATTCAGTGTGTGCCTTCATGCTGAAACTATCTGTAAATTACTTCTTCTGTTGCAAACAGATGAAACTTACTTGACTCCGTAGCTGCAGATGCCCAATTCTTCTTCCCCACCCACCCCCAAAGCTGGGACATGTGCTAAAATTCTTGGTGAAATTAGTAGAATGAGTTGGATGGTTGTTTTACACTCGATGAATTTGAAGAACGTTTCACACTGAAGAGTAGCTATGTTGGAAATCTGTATCTATATACAAAAGTGGGCAGGGATGTTGTATATACTCTTTCATTATGTTGTATAAATGCCCTGAGCTTTCCCGTGGTGTTGTGTCTTCATCAAGTTAAACTGAATTAGAACGTTCGTTTAGATGGTGGCGTTAGGCAGAGGTTGTCCTGCTGAGGACTCTTCCAAGCACATTTTCCTTCCACGAACTCTGCAGCTGCATCTGTTGCTGTTTTCTATGAAAATTTGCACTTGACTTTCAAAAGTCAAATGAAAGATGTAAAAGAGAAAATGTACACAGTGGAAGTCCCAGTTGTACAGCATGCTTCGAGGCATTTCTCTTCCAAATTAGTTGTGTATTTGCTTCTCTAGTGTAGCCTCTTCCTGACTCATGGTAGAGGAAAATGCATCAACAGAGAGGATTTTTTTTGTGGTTGTTCTTAAGTGAACAATTGTAATCTGTTTTGTGTGTGGTTTTTCTTTCCTTGGTGTAATTTTTTCAGTAATATCCTTTAATTCATTTACAGAAACTTTTCCATGTTGACCTCATCTGCTTGCTTTGGGAATACTCTGCATCCAAAACTAGCCTGTGAAACAAGAATGTTGGCTTACAGACTTGAACCACTTACACAGTTGTTGTTTTTTGTTGGGTTTTTTTTTTTAAGCAAGCTTTATCAACCTGTTACTGCTCTGAGGTTTCTGAGCATAACATACTAATTTCTTTTACTGTTTATGTGATTTCTTTAGTTGGTTTCTTGTGTGAAAACCTGAAAATATGCTGCCTGATCCTAGGATAAAACTACACGTGGTGGTCCTCACCTAGCTGTGGGCCTCCTGCCTGTGGAGATGTGAATCTTTCTGAATGGATGGAGCAAACAATCCTTTGTCTCGGACTCCAGCAGCATGTGCCACAGGCCAGTTTCTCTGTGTTAGCTGGTTGTCACAAGCAAAGGATTCACAGCAAAGAATAACTCCCACACATCCAAAAACAACCTTTTGCCCTTAATGCAAGAAAAATAAATACGACTTTCGCAGCCAGCCCCACACATGCTCCATCTGTTAGAGTAACTACCTTAACCTCATTAGTGAGCTTGTTACCAGAGCCAGTGTGACAGCAGTCTGCTACTTGAACAATGGGAGTTTTGTTTTTTAATAATTCCATTTTTCATGAGATTTGTTATGTGTTCTTGCAAGTGCTTTTAAAACAGTTTAAAAGCATTTTTTTCCTTCAATAACTTTTCATGGGGTTTAGTTCATTTGTATTAAGATTCTTTAATAATGTGGAAATCTTCAAATAGTTAGAAATCAGTTTGGTAGATGCAATGTCAGCCGGTGGGACGTGCCTAGGTAACCTCTGCAGTGCAAACGAATATGTTTGTTCAGCTACTCTTTGTTAAGAGACCTTACCAGGCCTTCCTGTTCAGTGCTCAACCCATAAAGTGAGATTTGCTGCTGTCCTTATTCTTTGTTATCACTATTCATACTTATTTCAGGGAATGGAATCTGGTAATAGAAATATTTCCTGGGTTAAGCTTCAGCAAATTGCATCAGATACGTTCAGCTCTGCTTGGCAACCTGTTAATACTGGTAATTCCTTTGTCCTAGGTGGTGTATATACTCTGAGGGTACATCTGGGACATGCTGTTGTGTTACATGTTAATTATTTACTATGACCAGAAGGGAATTTTACATCACATTCTGGATAATAGATTTATGGTGCTTCCTGCTGGGCTTTGTACTGTTGATACAGCAGGAGTAACAGCGAAGGCCATTGCAACAATAGCAGCTACATGGAAAAACAAATAATTCTAGAAAAAATTACATCAGGAAGAAATGGCTGCTGAGATGTATTTCTGGCTGGTCTCAAAGCATCATCGCATCCTGAAGAATAAACCGCTACAATAAATCTTGAATATAATGAGTAAACAAGAGTAGAAAAAGTATGAGGATGTTACTTACACTGGCATCCAGATGTCACAGTGTTTTTCAGGAGCAGAACTCTGTCTTTAGAGGGTTTTCCATGCAGAATGATGTCATCCTTACCTGCCTGGTTTAGAGCAAAGCTCAGCTGTGGATCCGTGCGATGAAGGACTCCTGAGGTACGGGTGTGTTACACTGGCTGTGTGCTGTCACCCAGCGACCTGCGCTTCTCCTTATTGCAGTGCCAAAAGTATTCAGCCTGGGGAAAGACGCCTCTGCTGTCTGTAGCAAGAGTTGTTGCAACTTTGCTGTATGAACAGGAATGTGAGTGACTAGATAGCAAAGCTGAAACCTCTTCTGTGTGGTGGGATGGGGCTGGCACTTTCAGGATCAGCATGAGCAATTTATGACACTTGTCTGTTATCTCCAACATCTTTCCCTGACTGGCTTCCTCTCTGTCTTGCTGAACTGGGAACACAGAGTGTGTTTATTGACTCCCAGCTCTCTGATGTGGTTCTTATAAATCTTTGCCCTTTGGAGGTCAGTGCCCCTCCATTATGAGAGCCTCATCTTGCTGATTCCCAGAGCTGCTCTGCAGCTATCGATCTGTTGCACTGACTTGACAAACCCGAGTGAAACACGGAGCTAAAATTTTATCTGGATGTGAACTAGCTCCCTCAATTCCCTTTCCGGAAGGAAGCTTGGCTGGGCAGGGGGTAGCTCAGAAAATACTGGATAAACATAAAATCCTTCTGCAGATTGAGATGTCAAATGAAAGTAGCCAGGGTATAGCCTGCAGCAGCATTTTGCCTCCAGAAGGCATAAATACTTCTCTTAGGAGGTACCTGACTCTCTTGAGGAAGGTGCAGTGTAAAAAGGCTCCTCTACTTCAGGGTAACTCCTGTCTTTGCTGTAACCTTGCTGAGGCCACGTGGGTGGCTGTGTCCTGGCAGGGTGCTCTCAGCTCTGCTGCCTGGGACAGGGTGCCACTCTCACTGCTGGCATGTCCTGAGCTGCCCTGATCACGTTACCAGCTCAGCAGGTGGTAACACACTTTCCTAGCAAGCAACCTAGAAGTGTCAGTGCTCAAAGACAGAGATGAAGTTCAGGGAAAAGCTAATTAAAACCACAGAGCTTAGCTCAGTGGCCAGTGTACTGTCAGTGTGGGAGCGTGGGCGATGTTCTCTGCAGCTGCAGAGAACTGTTCCCCTGACACCAGGTGCAGCCAGAGGTTACATATTTCACTGTTATCTTTCAGTCCCAGTTGTATGATGGGTGGTGAGGATGACAAGGGATTGGAGTGTTCATTTCTTGAACTCCATCAAGATTCATAAGTAAACACGCATCCCTGAACTCTCTGGATCAGCTACCCAAAGCTGCAAGCTGGTGCCAAGGATATGGGCAAAGCAAGCTCAGAAGGTGAGGGAGGACTAGCCAGGGGCTGAATGAAGGTGCACTGGCCAAAGACATAGACCAATTTATTAATTATAATATTTTTACAGTCATAAATAGTAAAGGCAGCTTATAACAATGGAAGGGTTCTCCTTCACCCTCACTTCTGGGACACCAGAGGAAGTGTGCTTGCCAGATGGGAGCAGGGCAGGTCAGGAGGGCCAGGAGCTGCCAGCTCAGACAGAGTGCCTAAATACCAGATAGCCCTGGCATGAAGTGTTATGAGCAGGGAGGTGATAAGTCAGGAGCATGCACATACAAGACAAGTATTGCCCATTCCCACAAAGCGGTTCACAGGGAAGGCTTATGATCTGTGACCACTGTGGTGCAACCATCCTGGGAAGAAGGCAAGACTGGCCCTGCAGAGGTGAGTCCGTGTGGGTCAGAACCATCCCTTGCAGGGATGGGCAGGTCATACAGAGGTTCAGAATATGTACTGGAGGAATGGAGGCAGCAGCAGCATTTGTAGCGTCCTCATATCTGGAAAAAAAAAGCCCAGTAGGACAATATCTCCTCCCTTACCAAAGACAGGGACTGAGACAGGCTCGTTTGTTCTGGCTGGTGGCAGCAATTACACAATATGCTGCTGAAGCTGTAGCTCTGCTGCTTGGAAGATGTCTACATCGCTGACAAGTCCCATCCTGACAAATGTAAGGGTCTTATCACAAGCATACAAGAGCCCTGTCAGCTGTCAGGCGATTATCCATGTGTGTACCTGAACATTTTTCCTGACCAAAACAGGTATTCATAGTTTAGTGCCACCCTAGGCTGGCCCAGAAAAATGCTTCTACTGACTGATTACTAACCAGGCATCTCCTTATATATGCAAGCAAGGGTGGCACCGTGTGCTCCCACCACCACTAGTATGTGTAGCCTTTGCTGTAAAGCTGTGGAGGGAGGCTCCCAAAGTCTGGCAGATAAGTCACATTCTCATCCAGGTGAGAAAGAGGCACTGTGTCCTCCTCACTGATCTGCCGGTCACACTCTGCCTTTAGAGTTGGCCGCTGGTGATCAGGGAAGGCCAGAGAGAACAAGGCTTCAGGCTCACACACAAACTTGTACACGTAGCGCTCTCCAGCCACCTGCAGGGAAGATACAAGATGAATGGTGCACACAGGCAGCACTAGGCTTTTGCAAAAGACACCTGGATGCTCTAGCCCATTGTCCCGAGACATGTCAGAGTTGTAAACTTCTCCTTGTGCTGTCCTCCTGCTGCTCTGGTCTCCCCTAGAACAGTTCCTGGGAAAAGGGGTGCTGCTAGCTGACTCTTTGTCAGGCAGCAACAGCATCAACCAGTCTGTACTGTGACACAGTTACCCTCATAGTTACCCTCTCCAGTGCCCTGCATCTGGAAAAGACCATTCCTACCACATAGGACCAACTCCCAGGCAGCCTTTCTATCACCAGCAGCAACTCTAGACTGATTATATGTCCTTGCAGCTGCATAAATCCCAACTCTTCTGACTACAGACAGAAAAAGAAAGAAATTATTCCCCTGTGTTTTATTTCCCATATGTTGTCTAGATTCAGCTCCTTTACCCTTTCTTCATTTCACTGCTGCAAAGAGAAGTTGTGGGGAAAACAAGCTCAGGATGCCTGGCTAGCTCAAGTACATTCTGCACCTGTAAGTCTTTCTATCTCAAACCAGAGAAGCATGACTAAAGGCATAAAACCTCCATCTGCTTTGCAAACTGACCTTCTGCATGATGCCTTTCTCATAATAGTAGCGAAGGGATCGGCTCAGCTTGTCGTAGTTCATGGCTGGACGGTTCTTTTGGATACCCCACAGCCTGGCTACCTGTAGAATAAAGCATTAAAAATGCATTAATGGCTTAACCCAACCCACGGGCAAAAAACCCCATTATCCAGCTGCTTGTCCTTTGAGGAATGGTACCATAACACATACAAACATTTAAATAATAGACTTAAACAATAATTATTCAGCAGCTTTTCAACAAGGAGAGTAGAACTCAAGCTGAATCACCCGGGATCACAGACAGGCATTCTTCCCACAACAGAGCTCGTTTGCTGTCATCACTTCTCCTCACTCTCCAGTGCTCTGAAGACTTGAGGATGCTAAAGGACTACTTCATCCTATGCTACACTTTGTCTTCAAGGATCACATCCCACCAAAACAACTCTGATGCACTGAAAGGGCTGGTAAAGGTTGGTATGTAGCAAGACCAGTGCTAAATGCAGCTCTAATGATATGAACAGATATTACAGACACATCTCCCAGACATTGTCAGATATTGCGGGTTTTGGAACACGGCGGCATTAGAAATTATACCTTAGTTAACCTCCTTTTGATATAAGAATATATTTAGACCAGGACATAGTTTCTTCCAGATTTTCATGAAAACTTTTGTGATCAGTGGGGTTCAAAACTCCAAACCTCAATGTCAGCCTCACCAATGGAGTGTGGTAAGACAGCACAGGTCCCTGCAAGCTTGAGAGTGAAGTGTCCAGGGAAGTGGATCATTTGCCTCACTGCATTGCTGAGACTCTAAACTTATAAGCAGCCTTTCTTAAACCTGATATTTCTGTCACCCAAGTGCTTTGCCCTCTTTTAAAAACCTTGAGTTGCTGCAGCGTCTAGTGAGTACCACTGGTAGGCAGGAGCCTTCACATGGCAGAAGAAAAGGCACTTGGGAATTTGCAGCCTCAGAAACAGCGACTGCTCTGCCTGAGCCTGTAGAAAAGCTAAATAGTTTCACCTCTTCTGGCTCTATGAGCTTGAACTCCATCCCTCTACCAGTCCAGGCAATGAAGTGGGAATTTGTCGGATCATCCAATAAAGCCACAAGAAATTGCCAGAGCTGGAGAGATCCACGTCTCTGGTATGGAGGTCCTTCCCGGTAACCTCCAGCTTCCTGTTTGATGTCTCCTGCTGAGAACAAACAAGGTGTTTCTAAGAGTAACAGTGCAAAAATAGTTGCAAAAAGAAGCACATTTCACAAATGTTTACCTGTAATATTTCAGTTCACTTAAAACAGAGCAGCCAGTTCACCAGCAGCTCTTCCAAGAGAAGCTCTGATGAACCTCACAATTAAGCTACTTATGCTAGAAGGCCTGTTTGCTGCTAAAAAAAGCACAAGAAATGGGATACCAAGAAGCCAGGTATGAACCACAGCTACCACACCTGCAAGAACACAGTGTAACGAGCTATGTAGGCAGTGATCAGGGGGCTAGCAAAGACGCTGAATAACCCTATCTTACACCCAAACTGTGAGCCGTTCTTTCCCAACCTTCAAATTTTTCTGGAACAACACAGACATCATCAGTAAAGGACCTCATCTGCTTGTCATAGCTGCAGCCTGAAAGAGAAAGCAACACAGGCAGTCACAGCCAAAGCCAGGGCAGTACTAGAGGGAAATGCAATGCGAGGAAAAGAAGACAGGCAACGAGTTTCTTACCTAATTTATCTTCTGTGTTTGAATGGCTTGAGTAACTCTCAGCATTTATGTACGTGGAAGGACAGCCAGGAACTTCTGCAAAACAATTAACAAACTCATTTAATTAAAAAGAACGGGAGACAGAATGATCTTGCTCTCCAGAAGTAGGTAGGTAAGTGCAACTCTCTAACCAATGTCCTTTTAGGGCTGTCCTAAAGGGTTAGTGTCAGACTGACAACTTTTTATGTCTCAGCCATCCCACCACAACTTCATCATGCTTCCAATCATGAATTACACTAGTTAATTTTTGTGGTACTATCACATGATGTCCTTCAGAGTAGCCAGGCATATTTTAGATCTATTTATCAGAACAAAGCTGTTTTATCTTGCATGGTGAGATCCAAAAACGGGGCATCAGCTCTCTCTGTGACCTACCACAGCGAATTTCCAGTGGGTGTCAACTACTGATGAGAGACCTCAGCACTGAAAGCTGACGCCTGCCAGCTAGGGGGGGAGAGCTGCATCTTTGCCTCCATTTTGTGAATTAAATTCTTCTGCCTTCAGTCAGGGAAAAGGCACAGGGCAGTGTCATGAGCTGCAGCTCAGACTTGTGCAGTGCAGCCTGTGCACCCAGAGCGGCTTTCCTCTGCCAGTGCTTTGAAGGTCCCCTCCTCCTGCAGGGATCCGAGACAGGTTTTCTCTACAAGCTCCAAGAGATACTCCTTCCTTTCTGCTACCATCTACAGAACATTTTCAGTATAATTTCTTCAAAGCTGACCTCACCTCTCTCCCTTTCTGCAACCTACCTGCTCACAAATGCCCCTGAAGACAAAAACTCCTGGTGGAACTGGGAATGCCCTTTTCTCCATTTTTGATGGTGTAAGCGGGCTAATTGTGAATTTTGAGAGTCTCCTCAATAGCTACTTACTCTCTTGGAAAAAAAATGCATATCTTTAATCTAGTTTGAATGGGTTGAACATCACCTTGTAGCTCCTGTATCTTGTTAAAGCTTCCCACTATCTACTAGGAAGTCCTTCTCAGAACACAGTAGAGGAAGTGAACGGCCCGGCCTTCTCTTGGATGCAGTAAACAGACAGAACTGGTTCTGTTTCCTGCTACACAGCCAGTTTCCCAGACCACACATGCTCCTGAAATGAAGCAGTACTATTTCAAAGCCCAAAGACCACCAGTGATGGATGTTCACCCACAAGGTCGCTCACCCCTGCTGATGCCTGGTTTACACAGGCTATTACGAGAAGAGCTATTTCTGCCTACCTGAGTCGTACACGTAGTCCACCCGCTCCTGCTTGATCACCACAGCTGCTGGGTACTGATGGCTGCTGCCCGCCCGGCTTGCTTGCTCATACTGTGGGTCATGGTACTCCTGTTTGAAGCCCTGATGAGGGTACTGGAGGTGGGGTTCCAGCATCTGGCGCTGGTAGGCAATGGGGTCTTCCTGGGCCATGCCCTGGGAGGAGGGGAAGGAACGGCACATCTCCACAGGTGGCTGGTACACAGAGCTAGAAAAGGGGAGAGGACATGGGATGGCTGCTATCTTGGCCATCTGATCTCAGCCCTGGTGCAGGGCTGGTTGAGGGACAGAAACTTCCTCAGCCTCAGTATGTTACTGAGAAAGGGACCTCAGTGAAAGATGTTTCCAAGGGCAGCTACACAGCTCATCATTCACCAAATTTAACAGGCTTAAAGTTATAGACTTTTTCAAATCCCAGGCAGCAGGTACTTTGGATGGTGGGAATCTTGTGATTGCTGGAAACTGAGCGCTTTAATCTGGATGTTGTAGCCTCTCCTCCCTGAATCAACAAGGAGGGGAATCCCTCTTGCCAGTGCTGCCTCCTCCGAGCAGTAACTCACCTGTTTTTGTTGAGGTATCCGCAGCTGGATGTGGACTGGGGTGGCCCCACAGGGGTCAGGAAGATTCTCTCCTGCCTAGGGAGCTGTTGGAGCGGTGTCTGTATCGGTGTTCCTGGGCTGGGGGACTTGATTCCAACTTGTCTGGGTTGATCATAGGCACTGTGGTAGTCAAACAGATATTGGAGCATTACAGTTCTCTGAGAAGGACTGGTGGCAGTGCCTGGGAAGAACATGTCACAGGCAGACAGGCCGTCTCTCTATGCAGCCACCTAGGCCAGAAAACTCCTAGCATAAACTCCTTTCTTTCTGATTATTGATTTCCCCCCCACACAACAACAATAACCCTTCAAGCAGAAAACTGGATAAGGCATCTGTACTGAGGAAGCCATACTGGAACTCAGGCAGGTAGCTGGGACTGGGGGCAGCGGTGTCAGGGAGCTCCTTGCGGCACGTATTTTGGAAAGCAGTGGGGGGAAGACAGGCATGTGAGAGATGTCGAGACTGCTCTCAGCATCAAGACAGCTGAGGAACAGCACTGGGGAGAAGGAAAAAGAAGGCAAGGCCAGATCTACTGTACACAGGTCTGAGCTATCCCCTGCAATAAATGGCAGCGTGAGCAGGCTGCAGCGTGTGCGCGCTGCCGTTACCCAGCAGACAGACCAAGTTGTTGTCATAACACTTGGTTTTAGATAATGCAGTAGCACTTGGTTCCATCACAGCTTCTGTCCCTCCCCTGTGTCTGCTGTGTTACCTGGTGTAAAGGCACTGCTCTCCATTGTGGTACTGGAATGGCTGCTTATGGTTGCAGGACAGTGTGGGGTCGGAGGAGGGACTCTGCGGCTCCTTTTTAATCTTAGCAGGAGAACTGTGAAAAGCTACTGTGGAGAGAAATGAAAGATGTAGCTGACACTTTTTTTTACTGAGAGGTATTTTTATCAGCCAGTAAAAAGTCAGTTGAGATGCCACCACCTTCTCCTTGTTCAGCTGGCTCCAAAAGAAACAAAATACCAATAGGCACAACCGTTCACTGTACTTCCCTGAGCTTTGCCAGTGGTTTAGTAAGGTTTGTGTGATATACCAGCCTTAAAAGAAAAAAAACCTAAGGTAGTGTTAACATGCTTTGTGATAATCCGGAGCACTTGGAAAAGGATTTAGAGTGGATATTTCCTAAGCTGTTCAGGGCTGAGACAGTCATTTTCTGTTATGTCATAAGGGGTAGCATGCTCATATTCTGTTTTTCAACACATAAAAGCAAAGTTTTGATTTGCATCGTGCGAAATGCTCTTTCACTGACACACTTGGTAAGCACGTCTCGTGAGTAGCATTACCATGTGGTGCTGTATTAAACTGTAATGCACTAATACCATGACACATTGTAGATTTCCTGATAGTATCGTTCGTCCTGTAGGACAATAAATGTCAAGTTTTTGTAGACATAGCTACAAAAGCTGAAGGTTTGCTGGGGGAAAATACCATTGTATGTATTGCACACTGTTACAGGCTGTTACCAGGCCAACTTGCTCACAGACACCTTACACGAGTAGTGTTTTCAGAAGCACCTAACCAATTTAAATAGCTAAAATCCCTTTTCAAAGGAACTGCAAAACAGAAGTCTGACTTCCAAGTCCTTGCTTTCACTAGAATATACCTCCAAGTTCAAAGAGCAGCTTGCTGTCCTCTCAGTAGACTCCCTCTGAAGTATCTAATTTCATTAATTGTATCAAATTTATACTTCAGCACTTGGGAAAAGGCCAGGCCCTTCCAGAGGATACAACAGTTCCTGGGTGGGAGGCTGCCACGCTGGCACTCAGCAGCTGCCCAGACAGTTTCCAAATGGAGGTTTCCCTTTATTGAATCTCTTCTATGCTAACAGGACAACATCCCTGAATGTGGGATTGGGGGAATCTTGTAACCACTCTGCTCATCCAAAACACCAATGGCAGTTCAGGAAAGAAGTATAAAGGTTCCTTTTCATTTTCAGTGTACTGCTCTGTGGTCATGGCCTGATGCAGGCAAGGAGGGATATTTCTGGGCTGGTTAGAATTTCATTAATAACAAATGTGGGTTGCAGTTTACAGCACCAGGAAGTAGGATGTGGGTATTGTTACTTCTTATGCTTAATTAAATCCAGCAGGGAACAAAACTTCCCTCACTAGTTCCTCAGAAAAGCTTATCCTGGCTGAAGGGCATGGTAAGCATCTTCTACCTTTGCCTCTGGGCTCTGCTGCTGCTGTTAGGAGGTCACTGACACTTAGGAAGTAGGGAAAAGTAACTCCAGAAGGGTACATAGGTCTAGGATTATTTTTTTTTCAAGCAAGGAAAAGATCTACCCTCCAAATCACAACTGTAAGCTTTTAACAAGGCTAGCTCCAGTCCTTCTTTGACAGCTTCAGGCTGACACAATGCTGCTTACAAAGCCTGGGATGTTCAGAGCTGTCATTACAGTTTTAAAGATAGAAAGTAACATCCTGATCTGTTAATACTTCAGATTTTTACCAACCTTATTTCAGGACTGGCCTGAACTGTATGTGCACCAGCCATCCTCAAGCCAGTTCTCCCTCACATAAAGAACCCATTGTCCCTTCAGAAGTGTCCCCATAAGGGACTGTGGTAGTTACCACTGCACAAAGGTACTTTTGTCTTGTCCAGATGTGGACAGTTATCCTGGGGTTTTTTGTCACTGTCAAAACAATGTAGAAATAAGATAAGCCTCAATGTTTGTGTGTTGCATTTGCACATTTGTTTGGTTTAAGTGTATCCTGCCCTTCTCTCCCGGATGCGTGATCACCTTCATGCTACTTACAGTTTTCTGAATGAAAGTCAGGCACAAATTGCTCATCACTGTCTGGAACCTGAGCTGCCAGGGGAGGGAGGGAAGGAGGAGGGGTGGGGGGTGTGGAGAGAATGGAGAGAGAGAGAGAGAGAGGAGAATTAGATTTGGCACTTTGTGTGGTATAATTAACAGTAAAGTAGAAATAAGTCAATGCAGGAAAGATCTGGGCTTTCGCTGGGGTGGACTTTAGTGACTAAGGATATTTTCCCTTTGTAATTAATGAATACAGTTCTGCAGCTTTACCTCTTAACAGCCTGCCAGTTTATTAGCTCAGTTTTCATTAGAAACATAACATGCAGTGATTTTTTTTTTTTAAGCATTTAGCATGGAGAAAACAACTACCAACTGATAAATTTGGCAAGGTTGTGCCAAAGTGATGAGTGGAACAGGAAGCTTCTGTGCCTTCATCTACAGCCTTTTCAGTAGCTCCAGCAGCAGTGGATAGCTTGGCACTAGTGCAATAGGCTGGACTTTGTAAATCAGCAGGGAGAGGCCATTTCAGAAGAACAAAAATAAGGTATTTGGTAGCAGGAGAGAAATGGTTAATAGTGCCATGCATGTGTGTGTGACTTTGCAAATGGGAAATGTAAGAGGAAGTGCTGGTGCAGTTAGAGAGAACCTGACAGCAAACAGCTGCTCTTTCTCCACAAGTCAGTGCAGTAAAGCTGATTTCTAGGCGTCTGCCCTGTGGACAGCATTGCCAGTACAACTCCAAGAATAACAGCAAGGTCTAGGATATTTGAATAGTTCAGTTTGTCCAATAAAGATACCTGAAAATCTGTAGAGGGCTCATTTACCTTGAGCAGCCTACCTCACTGGAACAAGCTGTTGCTGATTGTGGGAAGAAGTGAAATAGTTCACAACACGAGCATCTTGGTGTTAGGAAACTTGGGTCTCAATGCTTCCTTTAGACAAACTGGCAAGACTCCTGGGTTTGTTTGCTGACTTGAAAAGTCAGCAGCACACTCTCTAAATTGGTGACTCTTCATAACTCAGGGGGTCATTTTTATTCTGATTTACATGAAAGACTGGACTTTGCCAAAGCTGTAAAGCCCACATGGATCAAATTTTCCACAGTATCCAAAATGGAGGCACTGGCAGAATCTTTCACTGGGTACTTCACAGTATGTTTCATCACTTCCTGGAGTAAATACTTATTTTAAATGAAAACTTTAGATATCAGAATTCTTTTTCCTGTGATGCCTGTGAAAGATGTAACAGTGGTTGGAAGCTGGAATCTAGTGAAAACTGGCAGCTGTGCCGACCCTTACGGCATCACTCCTGTGAGTGTCTCATCTGCCTGGACATCGCTGCCTGCCTCAGGATACACAGGGAAGTGCCTCTCTCCCCTCCTTTTCCCTTGCCTTCATTTCATGAACAAATGCTGACATAGAGATATGTACAAGACATTAATGAAAAAAAACATTTTGACCATTCAGGAAAATAATTTGACATACTGGTAAGTGCAGAGAAACACTTGGACTCTGACTGGGGGCTATGAGATGTTAAAAAAAATATATATATCTGCTTATATTCTAAAAACATACAGTAGGGTTTGCATTATCATTTACTAATCGTTCTACAAACACTCTGCTATTGTCAAACATATAGTAAGAGATTCTATGCAAATACTTTAGATTAGTGAGCTAAAAATATTACCAAATATTAGAAAGCCTACCAAAGATCAAGTCTGAAGCAAATTTATCTTATTGGCAGCTCGAGGTTTATGAAGATTTATGAGCAACTAGTCTCAAGTATGTGTGGGCATTCAGCAGATCTATTAGATTAATAGCTATTAATACCTATTTTTCTGCCCTGATGTAAGTTAGGCGAGTGTCGCAATCCTGGAACAACCTCCAGGTAATTCCTCTTGCATCCTTACAATCCTCACACTCATTAGTAATGCCTGATCAATGTAATTTAATTTCAGGTTGAAATGAACACATAAACATTTGATTTTTTTTTTTTTCCCCCCTTAATAATCTTACTTAGTTGGCAAAAAAAGAACAGTTCATCAGGATTGTCCTTCACTTGGGGCAGAATCAGGGGAAATAACCCTGCTCAAAATGCCATAAATGCTTTTATATTATTATATTACCTATACCACAGTAAGTACTTTTATATTTATGAAGAGTTTGTACTTGAGGATATGTTTTGAATTTTCTGGAAAATGTGTCATTTGTAGTACTGGAACTGGAGCAAATTCACTATACTATTTAAAACTAGTTGGAATTAACGAGAGTCCCTGGGATTGAAGTTTTCTCTTCCTTGAAGTCAAAACAATTTAGACAACAGACTGAGCAATGGTAAATTCCAGGAAGGTCCCTTCAAAGAATTATCTTTAAAAAAAAAAAAGGGAAGAGAAGCACTTTTCCCCACCAGTTAAACGAATGGTTTATTCTCGAAACCAACAAAGATCGGTGACAAATTAGCATAAAATCGAATCCGTTACAGTCGCCTGAAGTGAAAATTGTAACCAGGAAAATGGGCAGCTGCCAAGTTTCATTCACAAGCAAATCCCCGGGACAATCGCGAGTCACTCGGGTTCGTTTGCACGAGCCGGAGGTTGGCGGTTCTGACAGAAACACGGAATGTTTGGCAAACAAAGCAAAGGAGCGGTGCGAACAGCAAAGGGTGAGCGACTGGAAGGCGAACAAAACGAACCAGAGCAGGGGAAAGGGAGAGCAGCCTACCTTCTGCCAGCCAGGTCTCCTGGAACCGGCTCAGGTCCTGGAAGAGCTCTGTGTGAAAAGCGAGAGGTTTCCTCAGCGGAGCGCCGGGGAGGGACAGCGGGATGCTCCAGCGAGGGCGATGCCGGGCGGAACGGGGACATGGGGGCGGAGGCGCAGGGGGAGGACC